AGGACTTTAGTTTGGAAAAACCTGTCATAAAGGAGCAATGGAAAGAAAGCATCACAGAGGCTGGAGTGAATGAGGGAAGCCACAAAAGGGATTTTTGTCAGTCTGATGGTTGAGTCAGCTGAGCAAACCAGGGCATGGCCATGGACTCCCCATGTACCTCAGATGTGAATTTGACCTAAAAGATGCTATAAACTTGAGTCACTCGGCACCGTAAAACCCAGCAGTGGCAACTGCTGTTACAAGGGAAGTTCTGGGGGAGTCAGTTAAGCCGACTCGTGTACCAAGCCAACTGCAAAACCATCAGATGCCTCGAGAAAGGAGAGCTGTTGCACAGGGTTTAACACAGCTTTTCTTAAAGGAAGTCACAGCCTGCGAGTTTACTTGAGTTCTCTGAGGGACTTGCAGCAGAGGTGTGGACAGGGGTGTCTGGTGATAACTACGCGGTTCCTAAAACGCTTCTGGCCAAGTTTAGGCGCCCACGTGCTCTGCCTCCAGCCTGTGCAGACAGCTCAGAGAAGCAGCAGCGTGGGACAGCTCAATGCAAGATGTGGGACGTGGATGTGGAAGGCACAGGGAGTCCAAAGCGCTGGATGGTATCAGGGGAGATGCCATGAATCCGCTGGTGGGCAAGCAAGCCCAGAAATGCTGACGTAGCAGAAGCAGCACATACGAGGCCAAGGCTGAAGGCAACTACCCAGGGGGCAGTGGGTGAGAAAGTGGGCTGAGGCAAAGAGAGGCAGTTAGCAGGCAACACAAAATTTAGACCAAGAGATAGGGAACATCAGAGGGACACTCAGAGGAACAGGCAGCCCAGGGCAGCATGGTAGCAGTGCGCAGACCAAACCTGCACTTCTCTGGGAGCATTTAAGGGGTTGCACTGCAGAAGAACCTACTGGGTAATACAAAAATGGAACAGAGAACTCAGGTCCGGTACCACCGGGGGAAAAATGCCAGCAGGTGGGGAAGCAGCACCCAATGGGAGTGCAACCCATCTGCTATTCAGCATTGCTGCCTGGGCAGGGCATGGAGAATTTTGTGGGAGGAGCTGGAAGGGGCCTTGTGCTGCATCTGCAGACCTGTGGGGAGGACTCTCCCGGGGACGAGAAGTGGTGCAAGGAAAAGTGCAGGGATAGTTATTGAAAATTTGGACAAACAGGCAGGGGAGAATGGCTGTCCATGAGTCAGCATCTTGAACATAGTCCCGAGGTGACAAGATGGGTGAGGCGCACGGGCTGTGAAAGGCACAAAGGAGGCCCTGCGAAAGGACACACGGGAATGGATGAAGTAATTGAGAAAAAAGCTTTGGACAAATTCTTTGTGAATGCTGTCTTTGGGAGGGAAGGCTGGAGCTGCAAGAAAATACAATGGGATACTGACACGGGCTGCTGTGCAAGTGTGGAGAGGACTGTGCTGGAGACGGGCCCCAGGCTCCAGGCTGGGGCAGCAGGAAAATCGGTAGGGTTGAAATGGCCTGGTGGGCTTTTCAGAAAAGAGCGACAGGACAAAATAATCCGAAGTATCTTGGCATTTTGTACTGATTTACCAGCTGGACACAAGGGCTCGCTATTCTAGATGCAACAGATCTATCTGATCTAAAAGAAGACACCTCATGATCTCCTGCTCTGGGCAGATTCCCGAACTAATGAAGTGCAGACCCATTTGTTCTTGGATACCAGAGCTTACCTGGGGGTCCCCGCTGGCTTTTCGGAGGCTCATATGGCCAGAGTCGAGCTGGTGTAGCGGGGTCCCAGAGATGTGGTAGCCATTCACTGTAAGAACAGATGGAGAGTTAGCAGGCTTGCTGCTGGTAGTGAATGAAAAACTGCACATTTTAAAAACTAACTGCATAATTGAATACACAGAGATAAATCATGGTGCCTTTTTTGAGTCACCGGTGTTCACTGCCTCCAGTCTAAGAAACTATGGATGCTTTTCCCCACCCCTGCAGGCTGGCAATGTGCTGTGTTGGCTCCAGAAAGACCCCAGGACCGGACGCTACTGAAGCTCAGCCCGTGGGCCCACTCCATCAGGGTCCCGCAGCAGGCTTTCATCAGGAGTTACGGCAAGAGTTACTGAGCTGGAAAGAGCCAAGAGAAAAGAGCCCCCCAAACTCCAAACATTTCCCATAGCGCTGTTGGTAAAATGATGTGTTTGAAGAAGTAGGGTATGTAAAAAGCATTGGTTTAATGGCAATGGACTTCTCATGTCATGAAAGCGAGCCTTGTGAGATGTTTATGGTTCATGTATGCAGCTGTAGGGTGCTTTATTTCTGGAATATACTGAGCAAAGAATAATGCTCAAAGTAGTGTTAAAACAAGATTCACAACTATGTCACAAATCCTTTGGGCACAACAAAATGTGCAATCTTCAAGCATGCTTCCCACCCAGCTCTGCCAATAGAGGGGCATCAGTTTGAAAAAATTCCACGAAAAACACCCTCTAGACTGCATTATTTACAGTCAGCCAGCAGCAGTGGCCTTTGCATTTAACACTTTTTATTCTAGAGGAATTTTTGCTTTGCTTTGTCTTTCTGCAGCACCTGAAGCTTTTCAGCTTTGCAGTTGATTCTCCGTTACTTGATTCCCTGCAACTCCAAGTCAGGACAGCGATGAAGCGGTCAACCTTGTAGCTACCATTTGCTAAAAGGCTTCGTTGTGCACATCTGCTCTGTGTGGAAGAGCTGCAGCCAGCCCACAGTCCTCTGCTGTGGGGCTGGGAGAGACAGCCTGCCCTTCCCTCCCAAGAGCCGGCTGCCCCACTGGCTCACTGGGCCACTTTCTGCCGCCGTGCTCCAAGGGAGAAGCTGTCCCAGCTCTGAGCAGGCTCTGCAGCCAGCCAGCTAAAAGATGCATCAGCAGGGGAACAGCAGGCAAGAGGGTGCACATATGGGGAGGGAAAGCCCCACCACGTTTACTCTGCTACACTCATGAGACTGTACACATTAAATACACATCCCATGTAATCGCAGCATTTTGCTTTGCTGCGTGGTGGAGAAACGGATTCACCCACGGCAGTGGTCAAGGCGCAGCACCCAACAGTACCTGCAGAACTCTTCTGTGACACAGGGCTCTTGGGCGTCCCGGGCACGCTGCTGGGCCGCTCCCAGGTCGTTTCTGTCGAAGGGAAATGTCAAGGTAAGGGTGACGGAGGCCTTGCACATGCACACCCATTATGTCTATTGCACACGTACAAATGGGTCTGACCCCCAGCATTCTCCAAACTGGGACCTCGCCCTGGGAGGAAGGCTCCTGCACCTCCCTGCGCTCCCCATCTCCCCCCATCTCTTTCTGCTGTCGCTCGGCAGCCAGCTGAGATGACGGAAACAGGACAGACTGGGAACTGCGTTGCTGCATCACCTCAGGGCTGTGTTCAGGATGGCAGGGGTACAGCTGCACGCACAGATCGCCACCTGTAAGCTGCTGCCACTGCCTTTGCAGGCAGCATTTCCAGCTGCAGTTAAATCAAGCCCAGTGTGGGTCCCACCTGCAGCCCCACTGCGGACAGGGGCTGCGGCACGCCCCATTGTGACCCCTGCGCTGGGCACAGGGACCAAGCAGTGGCAGCACCTTTGCCCCCACTCTCCACATAAGAGGCAGCTGTGAATGACTCAGAGATATGGATTTAATGACATATACACAGACCATAGCAATTTTTTCCCTCAAAAAAAACTATTTCCCTGGCAAATTTCCTTTCTTCCACTCAGTTCCTTTAGCAGCTGATATATGCACATGTATGCCACACCAGTTTTGATACTCAAAAGACTTGCTGCCTTCCCCTCTTGGTGTCCTCTGTAGTTTAACCATTCTGCTCATTTTCCTCAGCAAATGCAAAATTATTTTTGACCACATGCTAAATACAGAAGATCTAATTGCACAACTCTGTAAAAGTTGCTAACAGTGGACAGGGGAGTTGGAACAGCAACATCTGCAGAAGTCCAGCTAGAAAGCCCACACCACCACTCCTTTTGAGTAAACATAGTGGTACCAAACCAAATAAATAACATGGACTGCCTGCCCATATCAAGTCAGAAAATGGGCAAGCTAGTGTAACCAAGCCAAAGGACTACTTTGGCCACTTTGTTTGGAACTGTTGTTCCCAGAATCCCAACCATCAGCCATGGAAGCCTGCCGAAGCCTGAAATCTGGCATCTCTCTCAGCGTTCTGGATGGGCACAGTGGGGTGGCAACAGGGCAGGAGAGGCTGAGCGAGGCCTGGGCGTAACAGCATAGGGGCTGGCGGGCAGCGCTTCCATGGGGGCACTGACAGCCCCTGACCCTGGGTGACCACTTCCATGAGCAGCAAGCAGGATGCGAACATGCATAAACCAGAGCATAGAAGGCCTGTTGGGTACAGAAGGAAGTCCTGGTTTATCCATCCTTGCATATGCATCCATGCACTTGTGTACACCTACAGCTGTCCTCAAGGGCTGCGTTAGGTTCCATATTTCAGGGGAGGACTCCAGATTACAGAAGCCCAATGGGGAAGGTGCCACCCCCACCTGTGATGCCCAAGTTCTGGAGGCTCAGGCCCTGCTTCCCTCCCCCCTCTCCCCTTCTCCCCAAGCCACAGCATGCTTGTGCTTGCAAAATAAAATGCTTTGAGCTTTTTCTCCTTGCAAGTGCAAAACCTGGTGGACTAGAAGCTTTGATGGATCACAGGGAAATATTTAAATTTTACTCAGCTTTTTGTGAATTGGTTAGTAAGTTAATAAATTCCACGCTAGGTCAATGAGGAAGAATTGGAATGTGTTTTAGCTAAACATATTGAAAATAAAATGCTAAGAGTTGTCTTTTAGAGTCAGCTTGTCTTGGCTTAAAACACACGAGTGCATAGTTAAATAAAGACCAATTCTTATTTACATTTATCGATTGTAATAGAAAGGTAAACAATAGAATACACTACTTGGGTTTCTCATAGGCTTTTCTTTCTAATGTAAATTGTTGATTAATGAATAATGTGGGTCGGCTTGAGGACAAGTGTTTTAAAGAATGGCTTTGGAGATCTGAGTGGAGGCGTTGTGACGGCCAAGCGCAATCCGTGTGCTAACATGTCTGTGTCAGCACTGACAGTTGCCGTCACGTTTGGCTTGGGTTTTTTTATGCAAGCGTATCTCTCGATGGTATTTTTGCATTTTTGAGACTGTACAGAGGAATGCCTAATGCATATATTTGAAATGTAATTAATGGGTTAAAATTACCAGCTGCTTCTTGTGTCTCTGCTTTGCCCGCTAGCTGCTGTGGAGCTGGTGTGGAACCTAACTCTTCCATGTGCCGTAGGGAAGGCCCAGATACATAAAACCGAGGGCAGAAATGTTATGGAAGAGCAGTGCCCAGTGGTGAGCCTCTCTGTGAGCACAATCCAAACACTCTGTGTCTTGACAAATTTTCTAAAATAAAGTGATTGTGGAGTTATACTCACTGGGGAAAAAAAAAGCAAAAAATGCTATAAAAATGCATAAAATAGAAATGTCATCTTTTATTGGATATGAAATGAGGAGAACAAGAATGTTTTTAACCCCATTTATTTTGAGTGCTAGGAAAAAAACCCAAACCACTTCTGCATCCAGAGTAAGAGAGGGACCATTCCGGCAGCCCAAGCAGGGACAGGAACCAACCTCGACTGGGGCTGCTCTGCTCTAATGCCATCTGCTGGAAGCAACTAAATTTACCGAGATAATACCCTAACATCGCAGTTTCTCTGCAGCTTAGTCATGACCAGAAGTGAATGGGGTCGGTGTGAATTTTTCCACAACTAGAAAAAAACAGAACAGGCCTGGTGGGAGATAACGCCCGGTCTGACCCAACCAAGGGGGCATATCATCTTGGAGTACCAGCTGCAGCCCTTGATCCCAGTGCTTGGGAGATCCGATGACTATCGTAACCCCGTGGTACAACACTGACCACTGCTGTCAGGAACAGGTTCACTGTCAGACAAGATTTTATATCCCACCCTGTTTTCCAGAGACAAGCTAAAACCTCTCGCTCTCTGAGAGTGTAATTTAGCACAGGCAGACCAACACCCACAAGTTCCATCCTCCCTTATCCACCACACGTTAATTATTCTATTTGGCCAGCGCAGGAAGGAGCGATCGGTCCTTTCCTTGTCACCCACGGGACTGCAAAGGGGCTCTGTGATCAGAAGGGCGTCCCGCAGCCCTGGGGGATGCCTGGACATCAGCCACCAAACAGCGAGGCAGACAGACAGATACTTGTTCAAACTGAAATGATGCAGTGAGAGGAAAACCAGCTACAAGACCCAAGCAATACGTGCCAACAGAACCCGAGAGGGCTTTCACAGATGTGGTTAAACATTTCCTCCCAAAGGAAAGCGGAAACCTGTGGTGTTTGGGGGAAGAAAGTTCACTTTGCATCTGTTTGGCAGAACGAGAAATGGCAAGGAGTGTCAGGCCCTCGGAGAGCCGCACACTCTGGGACCTCACCTGGGCCAAGAAATGGCTTCTGAGCAGGGCCTGGGGCAGGTGGGCCTGTGATCAAAGGGCAGCAGCTGAGAAGGAATTCTGTGTCCCCTCCCCATGAATCCAGTAGCTCTCCCAGGTCAAAGCAGCTGCTTTTTACAACATCGGCCAAACCTCAGGGCTTTAAGGCCATTATCATGCCTCCCGAGGGTGCTCATCTTGCTTTCAGGAAAGGATTTAGTACCTCTGCATAGTGTCACCTGTAGTGCTACTTTAGGAGCTGAATGCTCCATAGTTTCACTGGTCAGACTATGAGAACAGGACAGAACAAGCCAGGACCTCCGGGTCTGCTTACCAGGCAGAAACTTCCCCTGTCTTAAGGATCTGTGGCAGCTACAATGTGCCACCCACCCGCTGGTGCTATCCCATGTCTTTCTAAGCAGGTTTGGATTTTGGTTTGGTTTTAACAGTGATAAACCTGTAATGCTGAGCAGCTCCAAACCCAGCTTCTGCCTTGAGTAACGCAAGGCTGTGCAAGTCACTGACATGGATGAAGAATAGCAACATAGCAGGTCCCTCCTCGATCACACAAGAAGAAACCCTGCAAGATTCTCCCAAACTGTTCCTGAAAATGTGCAGAATTAGAAGTTATACTCACAGTAGGGTAGAACAGGCCCCACAGCCTTGCCTCATCTTTTTTGGACTCACTTTGCCCTTGGCCAATGGCATGTAGGAATCACCTGTACATGCAGTTTGCAAACCTCCTAGCCTTCCTCTGCTGCTCCCCTGCATCTCCATAGGCTTTCAGCAAGGTTTGCTGCCTGTCTTTGGCTCCCCAAAGCACACAGATTGGTTGGATCTGTGAGTCAAAGGTAGTGCAAACAGCCCAGCTTTGGGAGCAGGTTTCCTTCAACAGTGCAGTACTGCACACCCCAGTCCAAACCTCCAGGCTGCTGGAAGCCACCTCGCTCCCGCTAGCTTTGCTGGACACAACCCTCACCTCGCCAGCCGAAAACAAGGCTGCCAGTGCTCTTGCGCCTTATCTCCCGTTCCTTACTACGATCTTTCCCAATTTGTGATAAATCAGAGCGGGTTTCATGGCACTTCAGTTCTTGGTAGTGTATGTGGGAGAAAGCAGCCCGAAGGAAAGGCAGGGGGAGTGTGTGGGTTTGTGCATGTAAGGAGGGGGAACCACTTGCAATGCCCTGAGACTGGAGTAAATCATTCAAAACTTTAGAATCAGAAGGGGTGGGTGACTCAGAATACAACTCAAATGTTTTCCTCCTGTAGCACAAGGAGAGTCTGTTTCCATGGAAGGAGGAGGTCTCACCTCTGCGTCAGTTCACAGAACCGATTCCATGCCAGGAAGAACTGTCCTGGCTCTCCCCTCCTGGCCTCCTGCCGGACGGGCTCTCCTGATAAAGCACAGCAGCTCTTCCACCCTCGTGCCCCAATGTTTTGGTCCAGTGACCCCTGCAGTGCTGAACCCGACATGGGTCACCTACAGCAGCATCAGCTCAAAAAGGCCCAACCAACCAGCACATGCATGAGCCTCCGAACTGCAGCCTGGTCTGCCACATGGTGTCATCCCACTGTGCTGTCCTGGGGCCCTGAGCATGGCATCCAGCCTCACACCTAATGAGGAGAGACACCAAAGGCCAGCAGGAGTGGCAGACACGAATCTCTCTGCACCTGTGC